CCGGTGGCTTCCCAGGAGTGCCCAGGACATAACGCAACCCGGTGTCTCTCTTGGGAGGAGCCCCCCGCCACTCCCACAGAGCCGCACACTCCTACCCGCCGTCTAGGGGCTTCTGGTTTCCCCACAGCCCCCACACTGACGACCTGACTTCCCGTGACGGCCCCCTGTGGGTGGGCGGCGGGCGTGAGCCCGTCCCTGCCGAGGGGCACCCAGCACCTTCTGTGCCCAGTGGTTATTGGTGAACCTGCTTCCGAGAGACGCCCCTCCAAACCCTCGGACGTTTTTAAATTGGGTTCTTGGTCTTTTCATTGCTGAGTTGCAAGGGTTCTTGGGGACGAGTCTTATCAGACATCTGATTTGCAAAATATTCCCTGTTCTATGTGACGCCTTTTCCCTTTCTTTTTTAAAGGTTTATTTGTGCATACAAGAACTGGGGTACAGGCCAGAAGTGTTGGGGGGGGGGTGAGAGGATTCACCAGAGACAGAGTGGGGAGCAGAACAGGCTACAGGATGGAGAAAGGACTCCAGGGCTATGGACAGAGGCGGGTCCAGAGTCGGGATGCGGGGCCCCCGACCATGACTTCAGATTGCCCAGAGGAAACAGTCGTTGGCAAGGAAACCTCTGCTTCCTGGGGAAACAAGAGAAGGAAGCTGGGCTGCCATGGGGGCCCCTACTCCTGCCCTGCTTCAGTCAGACACAGCAGGAAGTTGGGGAGTGGGGCAGGTGAGCGTGTGCAGAGGGGTCCTCGAGCGGGACCTGCGGACCCCGCTGCAGGGCTGGTACTTCCAGTGTCACCGGGCCACAGCTCCAAGGCCAAGGCCTCCTGTGCCCGGCGGGCAGTGGGGGAGCTCAGGCCCCGGGCCCGGCCCCCAGGTTGTCCTGCCGCCCTGGCGGCTCTGGGCCAGGTGTGCGCAGGGGTGCTGGGGCCTTCTGGGACCAGCACGATGTGGGGGACCACAGCCCAGGGAGGCCGCTCCTGAAAGGCGCCCTAAGCTACCCTTCCTGGCTTCTCCATCAAAGCAGCGTCTAGGACGTTGAGTCTGGGTGTCAGGAGCCTCTCCAGGGAAGAGACTCCCCAGGCCAACACCTGCCATCCTGGGGACTTTCCAGCCTGCTGTTCAGGCTCTCCCCAAAGAGGACAGGGTTTGCCGGGGGGTGGGGGTGGGGAGAGTAGCCAGCAGGAGTCACCCTGGCCGCCCCGGGAGATCCGCCTCGAGGTCTGGAAGGAGCCAGAGGGGTGAGCAGCTGGGTGGTCGTGGCACCTTCGTGTCCCAGGACCCGGGAACCGCTGTTTGAATTACCCGCGTCCCGCCTGGGCCGCCTGCCCCACTGTGACTATTTAGAGCTGCTCGGCAGGAGGAAAGGGCTGCTGAGGGTCTCCCAAACCCTGATTCCCGACCGGGAAGACGCAGATGCTCCCTGACTCGGGGGCTGCTCTCAGCTTGTGGCTTGGAAGGAGGAAAAGTCAAGATGACGAGAAGCTGGCCTGGGAGAGGCTCTCGCGGGGGGACGGGGCTGGCGATGACCCCAGGAGGACACGCCCTCACCCACAGACCCTCACACTCAGGCAGAGCCCAGGGCTCACTGTGCCAGGCCTGAGCATCGCCCCATTCGGACCTGGGCACCCACTTTCCCAGGGCCTGAGGCCCCAACCCACAGGGGCAGACTTACTGGGCGAGTTCAGCAGGCTGGTTCTGCCTGTGGCAGGCACCTGAAGGTCTGAGTGGCTGACCCGGAGTTCAGGGCCATCTATGGGGCCAGGGTCATCCGTCTGGCCTGCGGGGGAGGAAGCAATTTCTGCCAAAACCTCTAGATCCTTCAGGATAACCTGGAGAATAAAAGCAGAGATGAGCAACAAGGGCCCGAGACAGATGCCAACTGGTAATTAAAGTATTCGGGAAGTTCAAGGAAGGGTAGGGATTGAGGAGACAGAGGCAGGGCAGAGGCGGTGGAGTAACTAGCTGGACCTAGGCCCGGGCATGTGCTTTCCACGACATTTCCTCTCCAGTTGAGTGGACACCTGCGGGGCCCCCAGATGGGGCAGTCTGCATGGTGTGTATCTTGGGGATGCTTGGGCATGGCTCCGTGTCCAGCCCTGACAGATCCTACAGTTCATACTGCTGGGTGTGGTGGCCACAGGGCAGCTTCCCCTGCACACGTGGGGTCCGAAGGGGGACTCCCTAACTTCCAGACAGGTTCTTCAATTCTCAGCCACCCCCACAGCACTCAGATACTGGCACAAGTGGGACAGGGCCTCACCATCCTGCCAGGCTCTTCCTGGGAAGATGCAGAGTTGGGAGTGGAAGACAGTAAGGTGAGTGCCCCTCAGTGCTGGGTGTCACAAGGTCCCCCAGTCACCCCACCATTCGAGGCCCTCATGTCATTGCCTCCCTCTACCTCCTGCTTCTCACTGGGTTTCAAGAATACAGATGTGCCTCACTGGGAAGGAAACATTCACAGGGATGTGTGTGTGTGTGTGTGTGTGTGTGTGTGTGTGTGTGTGTGTGTGAATTCACCTGCCCCAATGACTCCAGCAGGGCTCTGGCCCCCTTAGGGGGGGGTCACCCGTCCCTCTCTTCTTTGTGCCGGCCATACCCACAGTTGTACCCCAGGACT